GAAATAGTTTTTACTCTATTACTAACATTTTTGCAATAAAATAATCGCCTCGATGCCATAAATGCTTTATTTGCTTTTTCAACTATTTTTTTTATATGAACAATGTAGTTAAGATTTCGATGTAGGTGAACGCCTAAATATTTAACTGTCTTTTTGTTTTCTAATAAATTATTATTATCAACTTTTATTCTAAAATTTTTCCATTTTTTCTTGATATTAAAATTAACTTTATCAATTGTGTTACGAAAAAGTATAGTTTCGCATTTATTAAAATTAATCTTTAGAGCCCATACTTTGCTATAGTCTTTTGTTAGATTAAACATTTTTTGAACTCTATTTTGAATTTTCTCAATCGTATTATCTGCAGAATATAGTATAATGTCATCTGCAAAGGCTAGTGAATAACTATTTCCTTTTACATGTCCTAGCATTTCTAGCAACTCAATTATGTAGATTGAGAATAGAATAGGAGAGTTTATGGTGCCCTGTTGCAGTCCATTTTCTATCCTAAAAATTTGTTTGCATAAATTCGAATCGTTAGCTATTACAAATTCATGATTAGATATCATATCGACAATTATACTAATAAGCCTCTCGGGAAATTCATATTCTATTAGTTTAAAAATTAATCCTTCAATCCAGATATTGTTAAATGCTTTTTCAAAGTCTATCAGACAAGCCCCTACACCATACTTCTGGTTTATGAACCAACATATATCAGATGTTAGTTTCGTTATGGCATGAACTGTGCTATGCTTATGCCTAAACCCAAATTGGTTTTCGGGCAAAAGCCGCCTATCATCTACAATTTGAACGATCTTGTCATTAATAATCATTTCATATATCTTACTTATGTTAGGAAGCAAACTTATAGGTCTATAACTATTAACATCCTTTGGGTCTTTTCCTGGTTTTTTTAGCATCACAACCTTCGCTTTTTTCCATATAGATGGAAAATAGCAGTAGTTCAATGCATTATTAAATAAAATAACATATTGTGAAATGATTTTCGGGCTTAAATTTTTTAAAACTATATTAGGTATTTCATCTATCCCTGACGATGTTTTATTTTTAAGACTCCTTAATTTCGAATTTAAATCTGAAAAAGTTATAAAATACTCACTATCATTTTGTTCTGAAGATTTGTTTGAATCATTAAAATTACTAATAGTAATGTTGTTATCTTGTTTCCTAACTTTGATTTCTTTAAACTCTTTGACGCGATCTTTAACTCTTCTATGAAAATTATTATCAATAGTGCCTATATTCTTATGGGTATTTTCTAAATGAGATCCTAAAATCTTATAAATATTTAATGGTGTGCTAATTATATATTTATCTGTAATAGTTTTTTCAAGTGAATTAATATCTATATTGTTTTGGTAAAGCAAATTGCACGACTCAGTATCAATGTTTAAACTCGATATTTTCTGATCCTGTTTAGAATAAAAAATTTTTTTAATTTCAGGAAACATATTTCGGTTACTTGTTTGAATTTTTTGTATCCTATTTGTCCAATACCTATCTACTTCTATGTTTATTTGCTGCTTAATCAGACATTTTATGTTTCGTAACAAACTTCTTAACAACGTTATTTCTGACGATGTGAAATCAAGGTTTTGGCTGTAAATTCTATGTATATCGTCTAATAATTTATTTTTCATTTTACATAACTTTTTTAATTTTACTGACTCAAAGTTTTTTAAATGATTTTTCTTTACGGTTGAAGGGATTACTTCTTTCATAGTTTTTTTAATTATGTTTTCAATTTCTAATAAATGGTTATTAATATCTGAAATATCGATATTAATATTATCTCTTATTTTATTTATGTTATCAATATATTCTAAGTTAAAATTAACATCTAAATACTGGCGAAACTTTTCCCAATTTGTTTTGTGAAAGCAATATCTCTTATTAGTATCAACCTCTATACCTTGAATAGCTACAGAAAATTTAAATTTGATAGCATTGTGATCACTATCGTACGGTATTGTTATTAAACTATTCATATCAGGATTAATTGTGTTTAATCTAGCATCTGCAAAAACTAAATCTATAAAAGCACCTGATCTTGGAAACGTTGGTGTATCTGAATGGTAAAGCGCACATTTATAAATTATTTTATTTGAATTTAGCCATCTATGTAATTTTGTTCCTCTATTATTTATATTTTCATTACGCCAAGACGAATGTTTAGCATTTAGATCACCAGCAATAACATAAAGATTATTTAAGCAATTTAAATTAAGCGTAGAAAATAAAGTTTCAAACTCCTCAATAAATTTGTTGTTAGAACCATTGGGGGCATAAATAGCTATAATGTACAGATTTTTTCTATTCCCTATATTAAGTTTTACTATACAAGGTTCTATGCATTCAAATCTATCAAATTTCAAATTTTCTACAATTTCATAAGCTAAGCCTTTCTTAATACAAATGGCTGTACCACCACCATTTGAATTGTATTTACGATCCCTTCTAACTATATTGTAATTATCTATTTCTAAATAATGTTTTGATTGTAATTTTGTTTCATTTAAACACAAAATATCAGGGTGATTTTTCTCTATAAAATGCAATAAAGAATATCTTTTACTATATGATACTAATGAATTAACATTAATCGAAATTAAATTTATACTATTAATATTCATACTTCCATTAACCATTACTAATGACTAGGTAATATGCCATACCAATTCATAATTTGAGCGATCATTACGGAATGTTCGCTCAATTGCTTTTCAAATTTATTAAAATTTTGTTGCATATTTCGCAATTCTTCCAGTATTTTATTAATAGAATTATTATTATCTATATTGTTAATGTTATTTTCATTGTAACTTTTACTAACAAAATTATTATTATTTACATTATTGCTTCTAACAGCATTAGAATAAGATATACCTGTTTGTACATAGTTGTTATAATTATTATTATTTATATTATTGCTTCTAACAGCATTAGAATAAGATATACCTGTTTGTACATAGTTGTTATAACTCATGTGTCTCTGAGAAATGTTTTGTTTAATTTTATTTTTCATTTCTTCTTTAATTTGCATTCGCCTTTTATACTCAGTGCAGTTTTTGTATGATGATGGATGACCATGCTGTTTGCACAGAGTACAATATAATTTGTCTCTTCCGTCTTCGCTTGTAATTTTGCACTCTCCAATTTTATGACTCTCTCCACATTTAACACACCTATAGTCCATATGGCAGTTGGATGCTGTGTGAGAGAATCTCTGGCATCTTGTACATTGTTGTATAGGTTTTCTTCTAATATTTTCCCAAGTAACAATACTATTATCAATTTCTTTTATATTTTTAATAGCATTTATTGAACTATTAGGCGAAGCCTGTACAATATAGTATGGTAAACTAATATTTTGTGTGATTGATCTTTTAGTTGCTAGTTGGGTAACTTTTTCAAACTTTAAACTCTCATTCTCTTTTGTTTTTAAGCAATGCAAAATATCATCACAATTATAATTTTTATTAATACCTTTAAGAATGAGTGTTATTTTTTTTTCTTCTTTAGGTGTATATGTATAGTAATTAGCCTCAGTTTCTGTAAGCATGTCACAAATGTTTTTGTAATCTACTAAGCTTTTAGTGTAAATTACCGCGTGGTTATCATTAAGTTCTTTGACCAGAAAATTATCAATTTTTAAATCATTTTTTATGGATTTTTTCAAGTATACCACATCTGTATTATATAAATTAATTGGTGGCATTCTAGATTTATTTAACTGTGATACATTTTTATTATTGTTTGTTGTGATATTAACATTGTTTTTAGGTACATTATTACCATTTTGGTAATTTAAATTTAGTGAATTAATGGAATTTTCATGAACATTCAAATTATTGCCAACACCAGAAGTGCTTGATTTTTTATTTTGTTTTTTTTCTCTATTTTTTTGTTTCAATACTTCAATATAGTTAGTGAAACTGTTTTTATCATTATTGCGTTCTGTAGCAATATTAATACTTTCAATGTGATCTTCTTCACCTTCAATGTCCATTAAAGGTTGAAATTTGTTCTGTGAAGTATTTTGCACAACGTGGTCCTCGGACAAATCGCCTTTATTATTATTTGATGCACGTATAAAATTTTTAAGTTTCTCAAATTCAACTTTTAATTTGTCATATTGATTTACCAAATTATCATATTGTTTTTTAGATACCACCTTTGGTACTTTTTTTTTCACATGTGACATGGTTTTTAAATTTGGTTTATTAGCAATTTTATATATTTTTTCATTTATTATGTCACTTACAGTCACATTTTTATCAATATTATTTTTTATAGAGCTTTGCGCTGAATCTGATTGCATAAATGCAATCAGAATGTATATTGCACAATTCCTAAATGGTTCTTTATTACAACTAATAAATTAAGTTATAAATATTTTTTTAAAGTATATAGGACATATACTTCTTCTTTTTTTTATGTTTTTATAAACTAACGATTAGAGTTAAATTAAAAAGTATGTGAGGTGTTTAAATTTTTTCTTCTAGTTTTCACGTCTATACTCAACGACTACTTGATCAAAACTCCGTACAGTTGTATATAGCTACATTATTAAACGATAAATATCTATAATAACAATATTATTAAATCTATAATGGTATCATACCATCACAAAAATTTCTTTATATAACACAATATTTAAAATAAATTAATACATTGTATTTACAAAATAAATTAAAATTAAATAATAGAATATATTATAATTTTAATATCTAAATACAATATGATATATATATATATAGCGCACATACACATATATAACATCACACTAAACCATATTATATAAGTAGATATTAAATTGATTAAAAATAAGAAAAAAAATTTTAAATAATAAAAAAAAAAAAAAAGAGACAAAAGAAATTGTAATAAAATTATTTTCAAGTGGCAAAATAACAAAGGATTTATTTATTTATTTTATTTTATTTCATTTTCTTTCTCATTTTTAATTACCCACAAAGGATTTAAAAAAAAAAAAAAACAAACAAAACAAAAAAAAATAACAACAAGAAGAAAAACGAACCCAAATAATAAAAAGAGATAGATATATATACCTTGTATAACAGTATTATTAGAATCTTATACATATTCTCTCTTTAGAAATAAAAATCATAAAATTATAACAAAAACAAGAAGCAAAACAAAAAGATATACGTATACCTAATAAGCAATATAAAATTAAAAAGTGTGTTTTTTTTTCGTTTCTTTGAATACAATTTTTGAAAATATAAAATCGTATGTACGTACAATAAAAAAAATATAACAATAACAACAAACAAAAAAATTCAAAAAAAAAAAAAAAGGATTATATTTGACAACAACCTTCATTGAAGAACAAGAATAAAATTATAAAAATAAAAAATCATAAAACGAAAGAAAAAGTGAAAAAAAAACAAGCAAGAAATAAAATAAGAAAACGTCAAATAATAAAAAAAAAAGTACAATTTCGTACTCATTTTTCTCTCCTCTTCTCTTTTTTTGTTTTTTTAAATTTTTTCCTTGCTGATTTTTGTCTTGTATTGCGGCTCCAAAAAAACATTAAAAGGCAACAATATACGTAAGCAACAAAATAGAAAAAATAAAACAACAAAACAAAAAAAAAATAAAGAGAACAACAAACAAAGAGAAAAATAAAGAATAAAAACGAAAAACAAAAACGATTTTCCAAAAGAAGAATAAGAAAATAATAATAAAGCAATTATTATCCTTGAGGATTTCCTACACGAAACAAGTTAAATTACAAGTAAGTACAAAAAATTTATTTTTCATATGTTTTGTGTGTTCGTATATAAATAAGTATAATATAATATATTTACATACATGTGTTACATACAGTAAAACGTCTGAAAGCCGAACTAAACTCTCCTTGAGAGGTGAAAATCTGTAATTATCGAAAAAAAATCGCCAATTGAAAGTTTCAAAACAATAAAACCGAAAATAATTTTGGTTAAATATTTAGAATAATTTTTTTAAACATTTCTGAATATATTTTGTGTCCGAGGCTATAACGGAACTAATTTTGGTTTAAAATGTTCTAGTTTTGTTCCATTAGGGAAAATGGAGAATAATCTATTTAAAATAATACAGATAGAGAAATTTAAAACAAAATGTCATTATTCTTTTGATTTATTAATAGACCGAAAAAATTATAAACAATTGTGAAACCTGAATTAAGCCCTAGAAAAATTATCAGTCTATTGCGAGTCTCCGGCTGACAAGGTTAACTGTATACATATATATTAACAAATTTATATTTTATTCATATAAATTATAAAATTCTTTTCTTTATTATTATTATTTTTTTCCCATATTCTGTTCTCACAAATAATATAATAATGAAGAGTTTTTCATATCATATTGTTTTTTTTTGTGTTATATTATAGTAGAACATATTACTGAATGAGTCATTATTGCAGAATAAAATAAAAATATCATATATATATATATTGAAGTAAATAATATATAGATATATATATTATAGATATATATATATAGATATATATATATATATATATATATCTATATATATATATATATATATATATATAGATATATATATATATATATATATATATACACATATATATATATATATATATATATATATATATATATATATATATATATATATAATTAAGGAGATTATTATAACAAAATATTTTACATGCACATATGTTAAATAAATTGTTATACATGCTATAATATTATACAATTCATACATTTTTAGATTACAATCTACTCTCTTATATTTATATAGAAATTATTAGGAAAATGTTATTTTATTATATAAAAATTCTACGTATTTTATACAAAAATTTGAAAAATGAAAATTATTATAAAATTTTTTTTTTATAATTTTTGATTCTTTATGTTTTTTGTTTTTTGTCTTAACATTCTTGGCATATTATACATAATATGTAGAAGATGTATGAGAAAATTATCTAATATGTAATTCCGAAAAAATCCCGCAAAAATTATAACAAATATAATATTTATAATATTATGAAAGATAGCTATTATGAAAATTATTTTAAAAATATCAAAGTATTTTCATTTCATGAAAAATTTTAATTGGAAAGAAAAATATTTTTTCCCGCATACAATTTATTTATTTTTATATTGCATAATTTACGGCGAAAATGTTTCATTTTATTTTATTTTTCTTCTACAATACACTACATAAATGTAATTAAAATAAACAAATTACCCTTATTATAAGGAGTCATTCGACTTGTGCCCAAAATTCTCTGAAATATTTTGAGAATATTTCATTTATATTCAAAATTTTTGGAAAATTATGTTTTCTAGAAATATTTCTTAATCATAGAATATTTGAGATTATTAACTGCACTAGTTCAAATCGAAGATACCTTAAAATTTTTATCGTGCTACTACATGATGTGTTTTAACACCATATATGGGTATACAACTAAATTTTATTACAAATTTGGGAATCAGAATCATTGTAATTGGGGATAAGCAATTTGGAAAAATACGGACTAACATTATTTTTAAAATATTTTTAAATTACAATTAAAATTTCAAGATTTAAACTACTGTGCAAGTCACTAAAAAGTATTCCTGACTCAGGCAGAACCTGGAAATTATTTTTCTCATTTCCTTGAATTTTCTAACAATACAATTCCCAATCCCTTTATACCATAAATAAAATAAAATTCTCAATCTCTTAGATCCTTCTCTGTTTATTCAAATTCATCTGATGTATAAGTATATAAAATTTGTTATTCAATCTGTTCAATAACATAACCTCAAAATTAAATATTAAAATTATCAACAAAATATAACTATTATACTACATATAATATGATTATATATTATAGAAGCTGCAAAGGATAACACAATGAATAGGAAATAGTTTATTAGAATGCTATCATTATGTACATATTATGTACATACATATATATAAAATAATATTGACCATTCTCTAAATGCATCCTAAATCTACTGTCTTCTTAATACATAAATATTTAAATTAATGTAAATGTATTGTTATAATATTATAAAATCTTTATTAATATATATATATACAAATGTATACTTTTATGGAAATGTTCAAAACCCTATCTCTATCTGTGTATAAGTATTATAAATGTTATAAGTAAAATTTTTGCTGACATAGTGACATTATTATGTAAAAAACAATTTGTTCTTATTTTCTAACAATTTATATTATAAGTATAATGAATAAATTTTTCAAAACAAAAAAATATAATATATTCTAATAGCCTAGAGGAAAATAGAAGAAAATTCGTACATGAAATGAAATTCAAAAATATTGATTAGAAATAATTTTTGGAATTATAAAAATAAAATGAAAAGAGAAGTTTATATTGTAAATGTGGTACTTAATGAAACATACACATACACGCACAATGAAATATTCTGGTATTTAATTTCAATGATTTCATTTTTGAGAATATAGGGAACTTAAATGTGTTATATTAATATAACTTTTAAATTAGATTAGATAATAAAGTAGTTGGAATTGATATACTAGATTTTTGGCTTTGTATTAGAAAATTTCGAAGTGATTTCCAATGATTTCTATGAATTTAGTTTAAGACGTGGCCATTTAATTATAATGGGGCAGTCTTTTTGGATTATTTCCTAGGTGTCGAACCAGACTGGACTACTAAATGTGTTAATGTCCCCTTTAATTTTTGTTCTTAGACTATTGCAATAATTATGTTTAAGCCTAAAACGAATTAATTTTTAAACTGAACTTATTCAGTTGAATTAAATAGTTATTTGTTATATAACGCTCTTTATCTTATATAATTTATCCAGAATATATGCGTATACTTTAAAAAAATTTCAAAATTTTCAATAATTTTATATAGCATTAATGTAAAAATCTTTAATGAACTAAACAACCTTATATTATTTAAAAACTATTTAAATTTAATTATCCGACTGGACTTGATCTTACTTACAAAATTTATAATAAATTTTCATTTTGAATGACATTGAAAATTTACTTTTCAAGGCAGTAAACCATTATATAATATGAACGTATACGTATACAATTTACAATTCCAAAAAAATATTACAATAAAAAATACGAAATTTTCCATAAGTCCTAAATATAAGATAAAATAAAATAAACCATCACGTAAAAGCCTTGAATCTATTACATATATATATATATATATAATACAAAATAAAAAATTCTTTCACCTTGTCACTTAATATCCTTGATTAATTTCAGTTTTATATTTTATACCATAAGCATATTAAATAATATGTTTATATTGCCTTGACTTAATGAAGTAGAAAAACTAAGTAATAAGTAAACTAAATAGGATACTAGCTTATATAATTATTAAATACTTTGTGAAAACTTTAATAAATCCAGTTATATTGTAGGACAATATTTTAATGAGATCTCCTCAATAGTTATACAATGTCTAAATTTAAGCTTTAAATCTGATATATAGAAAGATATTAGAAACTATATAATAATCCTTTTCTGTTAAATTAAGAACTGTTATTTTGAATTTAATGTGATTATTTCTATAGAATATGCTTATTGATGAAATAAATAAAAAATGTATATATATTTATTTATAAATAGAATCGGCAAACGTATGTATGTTATGTGTTCATATGTTAAAAGGACTCAAACTATTTAATATGTATTATATGAAGTGAGAAATTACACAAGCGTAAAAATAAATTTTTTTGTTTCTTTTATTAAAATTTTTATTTTGTTTTATAAATGTATATGTTTGTTTGTAAGTATAGGATGTAATCCTTTTTTTTTTTTGATAAGGTACATAAAGAGTTTATGTATTTAATATTCTCTATAATAGATTCCAAACGTATTTAATTTGATATTTGATTTGTAATGGTGAATTCAAAAAGGATTTTAGAAGAATTTAGTCAGAGATTCTGAAAACTATATCAATATGGTATTTAGTGTAGAAGAATTAAAAATATTAATTTACTATTAAAAAAAATTATGTTTAATAAAATCTAGGCTAAAGTAAATAATCAACCATATTCTGTTAGTCGGAATTCACTTGAATTTTGAGATTTTCAAAATATATTCAATTTCGAAATTGGAAATTCTAAGCATCAAACCGAAATTCTTATTATGCCACATTACCTAATACCCCGATCCGATAATGCAATTTACTTACTCAATTTACTTAAATGTAAATAAATTTATGTTACAATAATTTACATGAAAACTACATTATTCCGAAAATATTAATGATAAATGAAAGCTAACATTAAAATTAATTCTATATCATAACATATAAGTATTAAAATTTTTGCTTAAAAGTATACTTAATCTTTTGATCTCGATTAAAAATTGAAATTTAATAATTTTTATTATTTTTAAATTTAAATACTTTTTATTCTTTGAAAACATAAAAAATCAGTGTTTTTTTTTTCGATTTGAAAAATTTGAGAAGAATAATAAATAATTAATTTTTTTAAAAAAATCCTTATATACACTCTTGAATTTTAGGAGTGCATTATACGGTTCAAATACTAATTCTATTAATTTACTTGAAATTTTAGAACTTGAACAATATTCTTGTTTCTGTTATTTATTATACAATTTAACAAATTAATTAATTTATTTCAACCTTACAATTAATATTTTTTAAGAAAATGTAAAAAAAAAACCAAATTTTAAAATCTAATTAAAATGAAAAATTTTCTTAATTTTATTTATTAAAAAATTTTATAGAAAAATTTTATGCATATTGA